CTTATCACGCAGGTTCCGGCACACAAGACGCCACAGTCGATCGATGAGAGACATGGCCGGTCAGTTATGCGCCCCGAACTGCCAAGGCCGCCGCCTCACTCATCAAAACGGCCGTCCTTGTCCATCATGTCCATGACCAAGCCTCTGCCATGCCTGACATTGGCTGGCCAAGATCACAGACGGTTGTTTTGGCAGTACAATCTTCTTTTGAGGGTACTCGCTCTGCCGGTATCCCATGTTTGTCAGGACTGCTGAACACATGTCATGCAAAGAGGCCTGACAGATGCCAGACATGCCGTCCGAAGTCCAGGTCGCGGAGCGGTGATGTGCGCGCAACAGGAAATGAACACAGATGGCGAAACGAGCCTTCCACGAGCAGCCCCTCCCGCCGTGGAACGTCTGTACGCCATCGGAAACTTATTCTCGAAGCCCTGGGGGCACAAGCCCTCTGCCTCGCCCACCCAAACGAAACAGGAACCCCTACCCTGATTACCCACAGACCTGGAATAGCGGGAGCACTGCATTCCTTTCTAGTGCCGTTTGTGCTAAGAAAACTCCCAAGCCATCCCGGGATTTTGATGGGTGATTACTCCGCTAACACCGTCCCAAGTGAACAGTGTACCTCCACCTGCCTTCAGCACGCTCAGCTAGGCTGGTACCTGGAGTTAATGAGTCGGAAATATCATGCGGTGACTGTTCTGACTAGGCCCTGGCCTCTGAAGCCGTATAACACGCTTGCATAGTCTAGAACCTGCAGTAGCATTGTAGACACTCGTTCTGCACATCGAAAACGGCGACTGACGCGCCAAGAGTATAGATCAGAGAACCTTCGCCACGCGAAAGGCTGCGATATCCAGGCATGCGTCTCATCGCTCCGGTGTCGAATACAAGCCATGCCACATCTCCGCCTCGCTACAAAGGCTGAAAGGCTCGTGGAGCAAGCCTTTTGTGGCGATGATCCAAAGAGGAAGGCATCGGAGAGCTTGACAGCTTGACATGTGGTTAGCCTCCCATGGCCGCTGGCCAGCATGTGGCAGCGGTGATTCCAAACACCAGGCCTTGGACAGCTGTTTCGACCGAAGACGGCTGTTCGAACGAAGGCCACACCGGCTTCCGAGTCTTTGTCAGAGCATTTCGAGACGCAGTATGACGAGTCCATTTTCGTCGCTCAGCTCCTCCAAGATTCAACCACATCGAGACCTTGTTGAACAGGCCAACCCAACCAAAAGTAGCCACCATGCAATACAACCACGTACGAGTCCATGTCGCCCGCGTCCCTCGTTGCTGGACCAAGAGATTCATTCACGTAGCTTTCTTCTTTCATGCAGCGTCTCGTATGACAGCATCAAGTCAATTGCTCATCAGCCTCTTTCCGCCGAAACGTGCATTGTGGCACGGCTGTGCATATTCGATGCCGCAACCGAGCGACGTACTGTAGAAGCCCCAAGGCTGTCTGTTGCCCCCTTTCGTCGTATTCCGAGGGTGCAGGGCCTGAGGCGGACCTCCACGAACGGGCCAGCCGTCATCGCTGTGGTGCAGCAGTGTTACATCGCGCTGTGTGCATCTGCTGCAGCTGTCCACTAACCACTGTCCACGCAGCTCGGGCAAGTGTTCAGAGTTGTCATGGATGAGTCTGGAGCACGCTTCAGAAAGTAGCAATGAGACGCTGTCTCCTCCACACAGTGTTGTGAAGAGCATGAGCCGCGTTGACCAGAAGTGGTCTTTGCACTTGCTGCCGCATTCTTCACGGGCCACGGCCAGGCCAGGCTACCTTGGCAAAGCGAGGCTCGACCGAGATTCGGAACCGAGGCCATGCTCCGGGGAGGGGGAGTCTCTTGCCCCCCCAACTCCGTCCATTCGGGCACCTTGCCGCCTTTGCAGCCGCAACGGCAGGCCACCAATCCGATTCCATTCCAGGACCACCACTTCTGATATACTCCTAAGCGTGGTCTGTCTGACGGATCGCCCTTTTCTCACTACAAGGAACGTCTGACATTTCTACCACACCTAGTCAGGGGCAGGGGGGCCCGTCGACCTTGTTGCCTAGTCCGTCCACGTGTCATCGCGACAGCCGCTCACCCATAAACGGCAGCGCACGCAGGCCGCTGATGGCTGGCTGATTGGAGATTATCCAATGCACGACACGAAAAGCTCAGCTTTTATTTTGCCAATGCATGGGCCGAAAGCAGTAATCTTGCGCTGGGCATTTTCGGCATGAGGCCTACAGACTGGCGACCAGGAGAAATCTACGGTGAGCGGCCGGCCGTGGTTGATGACCGAGTGGTCTCATTGTCAGCTTCCTCCATGACACGGAAATGATCCTCATCTGACGTTGAAATTTGGCACGACAAAGAGGCAAAATGGTCAGAGAAGCGCACCCTCCACCAGATCCTGTGCCCTTAAGCAGCGCCACACAGTCAGGTCCAGCACGATGCGCATGGTGGTGTGTCGTGAACTCTTGGTCATGATGTCACGAACCTCTGCCTGAAGTGCTAGAACCAAAGCCCAATGCCGTATTGTGTGGCTTGTGCCTCAGCGCAACCCCGGGTGAAGAACAGCGGTTGCATCAACACCCCCCTTGTCCTTCGCTCTATCAACAAGTCTCGTCGAATCACCTCATCGGCCGGCCATCTCAACCGTTGGGTATGCCCGCCCCAACCCACCAACGGGTAGCCACCAAGCTCAGATCCGGTGGTCCCCCCCTCCTTCGCCCTAGTTCACCTCGACACCAGAGGGCCGCACCCGGTCCAACGAGCGAAATTTCCCCCACACCCATACCAGAAGGGCAGAGAACAAGCCAAGGTGAAGCCGTACACCCTTTTCCCTACTCGCCGTCCCCCATCAACTAAGTAATCCCCTTACCCAGGGGCGCCCAGCCTTCGGGCGATTGCCTATGGGCTATCTGCGACGGCTGCTGCCAGCCTTCTGCCCGGCCCCCCTTTCACACCCCCAACCACCTCATGCTTACAACAGGAACCGGCATGGCGAAAAGGGGCAAGAAGGGGGGAGTCAAAGGCTAAGAGATAGGCCCAGCCCGGCTCAACCCCCACCGCCAACCATCAGCAGAGGGCAACCACCTGAGTTCGTTGTCAAGATTTG